TAACTCGCGCGTATCGCGGCCGTCTTTTCGCCGTCACAGCAAGCCGCTAATTAACGAATACGGGCGACGCGTAATCGCACGAGTTAATTAAAGCGAATCATGGGAATCGACCGGGAGACTTGGTTTCCGCGGAACGAGAAACGCGGGAAGGAACGTATTCGTTGAGGAACGTTTCTCTAGCGTTTAATGAAAGCTTCAGCAAAAGGCACGCACATTGCGATTTAACGTGCGAGTTTTTTTTGGCGATAAATCAGTGCGCGCGCGCGTTACAGCGCACTTTCTCGAATCGTACAAATCTCGTTAGTCGACTCCGTGAAGTTCGAGACCCGAGAAGATGAGACTCGAGAGAAAGAGAGAGCGAGAGAGAGAGAGAGAAAGCGAGAATGGCAATGGAAGCGGAGAGAGCGAGAGAGCCAGAGGCCGGTTCACCTTGGGATGCTGGAACCCTATCTGCATGCGAGTATCACAGATGAAGAAGACAGAGAGAGAGAGAGAGAAAGAGGCGGGGGAGAGGGGAAGAGCAAGACGCGGGAACAAGAAGAAAAGGAAAGCGAAGCTAGGGGAACGACATTCCAGCTGGAGCCGGAATGAGCGGCGTCAACCTCTCGAAAATCGAAGCCACGTTTCGTGCATTGTAACAACAATAATGGAACGCGCGATTAACTTTCTTCCACGATCTCCCCTATTTCTTCACGCTTGCGGCTTGTACGTCTTATTTCTCGTAACGCATATAGCGATATAGAGAATTTTATATATTAAATTATATATATTATATATGTTAAATTTCTTTTATATTTTACGTATATATTTATAATATATATTATATCTTTTTCAATTAATTTTTGAGAAGTAGACTCTTAGAAACTTTCATCGAGAATAAAAGCAAATGAGTTTTTAATCGTTTAGAGAGAAACATATGCAAGAGTGTGTTTATCTCGTGCGCCGAAGAAAATTTAATTCGCGTAAATAAATAGAGGCGCACGCTAACTATTAATTATGTAGGAGATAAGAGCGAGGGTGAATCCAGCGTGAAACGCTCTGCGAAATCAAGGTCGGTTAGTCGCAGCGAAATGCAGGACTCAACCTTTCTTCTTTCGGATTAATATTAACATATACGATGCAAGGACACAAGAGTACACGTATACATTTTGCGTCAAATCTGCACGAAATATATTTATAAAGGAATAAAATGTCCTTTCGGGAATCGATCATTCCGCGACTAACGTGGGTAAAAAAACCATTGATTTTCCCCGGTTGAAGAGCGCTATATCGAAAGTATCGAGCGGCGCCGGGTAACGACAATGACAGAAGCATCGTGCACCGGGGTATCGCACGCGTTATAGGTGTGCGCGAAGCGAAATAGAATTACTGGCCGGCGGCCAAATCGAATATGGATTTTTAATTGTTACCGTTGCATCCGAAACTGCAGATTCGCCGCGAAGATTTCGGCCGTGCTATCCTACTGATAAATAAATCGTCCTGCGCAACAATAACCGATCGCACGCGAACATGCGTCATGAGCGCTCGATGACGAGCCGTAAGTAAAGTCAGCCAATCGGAGAACGCGCCGCGCCAAATCAATAACCAGCCGATCCGTGATTAATGGCGACGCGGATTATTATCCGGCCGAATTATCTGTTTGGCTGCGGATTAATTCTGTTCGTTTTATCGCGAGCGCGAGTTTCGCCGAAAGGTTTATCGTCCCACGATTCTCCGGCTTCGATAATTATCGAAATGACCATTTATCCGTGGAGGCCGGATTTTGACCCCTACGTATCCGATGCCGTCTCTCGAGACTTTTCGATGCCGGAGGATTATGCCAGCTGCTCTGTCCATACACGAGAGGATGAGAAAAAAAGGAGGATTGGGGCCACGGTTGAAAGGCGAGTCGAGAAATCCCGCGGATTTCGGGCCGGCCCGCCTCTCTCCGCTCTTGTCTGTATTCAGGATCTACGCGCGTCCCACGGGAAATCGTCCTGAGCGTTGTGCTCGCCCCGAAAACAAGTTTTCGAAGATCAGCGCGGAGCGCTACGGGAGGAAAACGTCCCTCTACCAATTTGACCGTGACAAATCGCATTCGGAGGCTGACTGACTCTTAGAGAGAGGTACGATCGATCACCGTGATACTCGAGAAAGTAGGACAGTCCATTAACGCGAATCAAACGAATCGTCTATAGTTGCATATCTTATAATCGTACATCGTACATTTAGCGTTGAAACTAGCGAGTTCCTGTCTACGATCGTATCTCGAGCTAAATTTTCAGAATATAAATAAAATACGAAGATCTGTGTTGTTCTGTTAGCGGAGACCTGAATATTTAAGAAGCAAACTTTTTGTAACGTTTATATATTTATTTCCGACACAATTTTCACGTAACAGAGAAAAATGCGAGTCATCGTAAAAAGCAACGTCAATTTTCGCAAGAAATTTCGATTCCTTCGTAAGACCGACAAGGGGAAAGACGATGATTCGCGCAATAAAAATCGCGCGTTGTACGCGTAATGTCATCGGCGTCGAACAAAGAGGCGAAGCCCCCCTTTGTACGGTCCTGATACTGAAGCTATTTGAACGGCGCGCGCGAGCGAGCGAACGCGAGAGCAGATTATATTAAATGGCTGGTAAAACGGTCTGCTTAACATAGCGTTTATCTGCTCCTCTCGGTTTAGTACTTTTTCACTGCCTCGTCAGCCATCGCCCATAAACTCAACTACGACTATCATGCGTCTCGCTTTTTCCCAAGGAGAAAGAGAGAGAGAGAGAGAGAGAGAAAGAAAGAGAGAGAGAGAGAGAAAACTCTCGGTACATTTTTCCGCGCACGCGTGCATTGCACGCAGCCGGGCTGGTGAAGCTCGTAAAAGATACAGGACCATTAAAACGATTCATCGTCTCGAGTGCTCATCATGCTTTGACGCCCTTTTTGTTTACGATAAATCCGGACCGAGCTGTCTCTCTTGTCCTCTATTCTCGCCTCTCTTCTCTCTTTCCCGCGTTAAAGAATGACGCTTCGAATTTCTATCAAATGCATATCTCTCGTAGTCGACTTATTAATATTGTTTTTTGGTTATATTAGTTTGAAATTTAATATGTATGAAATAAAAAAATAAAAGTAAACATTTCTCACAGAATGATGAAAAAATTTATAGAATATATTGAAAATCTTATTCTAAATATATTTTAATTGCTTTAAAATATTATCACATGTAATATTATTTATATATTCCATTATTAAAATTTTTTCATACAGAATATATAATGCTCAGTAAGAGATATGTCAAAATAAAGGAAATGCATATTTTAAGAATATTTCTGAGCATTATATAAATAAAAAGAAATAAATGTAATTAATAAAATGGCTATATCTTACACAGATCTCTTTATGGAACATTGTAAAAATTTTATAATTTCACAATAAAATATCTTGGCGAGAGATTCTCTTTTGCTGTGTTTGCGTCAGCACTACTATACATGAGACATAGAGGTCAATGGCCCTCCTAAGTTTCAGGTAAAGCACAATTTAAAATTCCGATATAACCGAGCTAGAAACAGGAAATATAACGATAGAGAGAAAATGATAAGAAATAAAAATAATAAAACAATACAGAAAATTTCTCTAAAAATATTTTGAATAAAATTACAAAAGCAACCGATAGCGATCTCGCTTCCTCTCGACCACGAAAAGGGCAACGTCTCCTCTCGTCAGTCGTGAATGCGCCCGACCCTTTTGGAATATTACCGAAATAGCATAACGTCACACAAATGTGGAACGTCGTTGCCGACATCACTGTGCTTGCGCTTCGGCAACGACACTCTCGTGACTATTCTGCGTATATATGTCTAAGCGGAATCTATACATGCACACTCGACGAAGAACCGATGCGAAAGAGGGTAGCTCAACGTGTGAGGGGCGTGATGGTGTGCTTCTTCCAGCCCCGAATACTTTTGATGTAAATCGGCAACCTCTCATCGCATCTTCCCTCTTTCTCTCTCTCATTCCTTTTTCCTTCTTGATTACATCCCCCGAAAATAATTGCGCGTTTCGCGGTCTCTTGATCCGCGCGTAAAAGTAATCCAAACATCGCATAAAAATTATGTTTACGAGTTTCGAATGGGGGCCGTAGGGGTCGCTCGTCGAGGGTGGCCGAAGGGAGCCCGTACGCGGGGGTTGCAGATAGGGATCTCTTCCGATTCCTCGATTTCGGTCTATGAGCCGCGACAACGACTTGAAATGTCGGCGATATTACACGATGAAGAAGTAAGATACGCTATTCAGAAATTGAATTTCGGAGCTCGGGATGTGCTCGATCGATAAGCTGTAAAACGCCTATAACTTGAAGCGGAGAGCTTATTTATCGTTCGTTTCTCTCTCTCTCTCTCTCGCGATGATTAAATATAGAAACTTTTTTCGCGCATGTACGTTACACACCGAAGGCTGAATTTTTCGACATTATACCGGTTCTCCTAGTCCCTCCCCCCTCCCCACCTCTCCACTCCTCTGCCCAATCGATTCCGAGTTAAAAAACGCAATTTAAAAATCAATTCCAAACACAACCGGGCGCCGAAAGTCAGCGCTTTAAATAAGACCGATGATTTATGGCACGCAATAACTCGCGCTCAAGGGGAGGGAAGAGGGAAGGGGGGAGGAGGAGGAGGAGCGGCGAATAAAACTCCCACTCGCGCGAGGAGCAGATATAATCAATGACGTTGCATAAATAATAATATATCCTCGCAACATCGTTCGATTTCCGCGTCGCGTGAAAATACACGCATACATATGTATGAATGCACGATGTTGCCGCGATATGACGCGAGAGAAATCGTTTGGAACCTCCACAGTTAACCTCTATGGAAAGGCGGTTTATCGCAGCGAAATTGACTCATTTAAAAATTCCATTCATTTGTTAGCGCGACGCGAAATAAGCGAGAGCCATTCGTGCGTAAAGTTTAACGATCCAGGTGATAAAAGGAACGAACGGCGATGCTTTGGAAAGAAATCGCTCACCTGTCTTCTCCTTGATCTCGCAGAGGACAGAAAACAGAGCGGGCTTCATCCTGTGACAGTTGAGGGTGTGTTTCCTGCAAACAAGACACGAGCAAACTGTAGCGTGGCATAGGATAATCGAAATCGCGAAAAATTGCGAGAGCAAAACAAAAACTGTTCGAAGGAAAGAGCTCTCGTAGATCCACGTAACGGATAAATCTAGATCCGCGCCATTCGGTATGTAAATTACATCAGATTATATGCATTTAATGACACGTTGATTATATCAAAATGAGCCGGCTCGCTATTAATAAAAGCGTTAACTTAATTCAGGGTCGTACACTTAATTCAAGACTGTATTTAAATGGCTAACGTTTAACGCGCGCCGTGAAATTACAAGAGCTCTTTCCATTCTGCGTGGAATGCATGTATATTCTCGTGGGAGGCACGTCTGACACTCTTTGTAGCGACATCAAACACACACACAAACACGCGGATAGATGCTTAAATATCACAACGAGAGACACAGACAGGCGAGTATGTATACTTTACACGATTAAGTAGTGTGCGGACGCGGACGTGATACGGCCAAATGTATTTTATCGGGCAACTCGAGTTCCGCGTTTCTATCTTGTAGCCTTTGACAATTGTTTATTTGCAAAACGCAGCATCGATCCTCCTCGTTCATCCTCGTATTTGGATAAATGCAGAAGAAGCTTGCATATTCAGCCGTCGAATCACCGTCCACATCGCGGATAAAGTGGATATTTGCCGAGATGTATCCCGTGAGATAAATTAGACTGATTACAACGCGCCATAATTTGCCGAGCATAATTGCACGTAGATAACACGCGCGTTGTTCGTCGTCATTAATTATCCTTCATTTCATACAATTAAACCCGTAAAGATTGCGTGCCTCGCGTTTCTTAAAATAAATATGGAGATGCACCTCTTGCGCGTGACGCTGCAAGAACCGCGACGCGAAGGTACTTTATACGGACACTTTGTACGCGATTTATCCGATGTAACACGCGTTCGCATGAATCGTCGAAATTCGAAATAAAAGCCCCCCCCTCCTCATACACACGTCGTATTTTATACGCACAGCCATCATCTTGATTTTACGACGATTTACACGCGGTAACAAATAATCGACCTCGTAAATCGGAAAGTACCATTAAAATCTTTAATTGCACGTGAGTCGTAAGGATAATTTCTACCAAGATACGCTATTTTGTGACGAGTATATTTACACACGCATATTTACACAAAAGCATCCTCGTGCAAAAATATAAAATCAATAAAAAATTAGATATAAAATAAATACAAAAAATAATATAAAATAGATATATAAAGTAGATATAAAATTATATAAAAAAATAGATATAAATATGATATAAAATAGATATAAGGAATATTAATATTAAAAGATATTAAGAATGTTAATAAATATAAAAAATACAAAAAATATTAATATCGAGCTCCTTCGTACAAGGCATTATAAATATGAGACATGCGATTTATCATCGTCAAATATTTGGAGCGAAAATTAAAAGGTGTCGACGGGGGATAATCTCGAGAGGAGCGAGGAGTTGGCGAAATTAAAAGACGCATCCCGCGCGCAAGCACGTTAAAAAAATGGCGGAAAGGGGATACACATACCTCGCTTGCGCCTCGTCCAGGCTCTGATCCGTGATGTTCATAATCTGCTGGAGGATTTCGCCGATGTCCTGCTTCCTCGCCTCGACCGCCTGGTCAGGACCTTGGGTCGCGGTGCCGTCGACCGGGCCCATGCTTCCGTAACCGGCCGTGTTCTGGGCCGCCTGGCCCTGGTTTCCACCCATCAGTCCCACACCTGAACCTCCGTGTTGTAGCATATTGCCAGTCTCATCCATCAACCGGACTCTGCTGTCTTGGACCTCGCTGGTGGTTCGGTCGACCACCGCGTTGTTCGCGTGTCGCACGTCCGTATATAAATGTGTGTGTGTGTATTTGTGTTGTATCTGAACGTGTGTTTACTTATATTTGCTCCGTCGAAAGCGACCGACGGAGCGCACTACGCACGCACGCACGCACGCACACACCTACGCGTTACGCTCGTATACCAGGTGTCGCAGAAAAATACGCGTCGGGTAAGAAACTTGCACAGAAATCGGCGCGTCGTCGAACGATGCCGGGTGCGATGACGCACGTGCTCTCTCTCCTTCCTCGAGAATCCTCGCCTCGGACTCGCACACTTGGAAAAATATACTATCTTCTTTCTCTCTCTCGTACTTTATCTCCGTCGTTACGAGTACCTCGTGACTTCATGCGCTGCTGCTTCCCGCAGCGATCCCCGAAACGCGAACGTGTTGGAGGTTAGGCCGACGCCGTGGTCTTTGTCCTTCTGCGCGTATCGTTCGGCAGTTTTGACTCCGCACGCTCCGTTTTGTTCCTTTCTCTCACTCTCTCTCTCTGTCTCTCTCTCTCTCCCTCGCTCTTGCGCCGCACGCTCACCTCCAAACCTCCGATCTTCTATCCTCGTCCGTTCCGCACTCGCACACTCCTAATTACTTCAGTTTCTAAAATCTGGTATACACAATAGGGAAAAAATGGTGCCTTCGCCGGCGGTTTAAACTTTGACGGATTGTCGAGTTTTACGTATACGCGGTTGTGTCGAGACGGTCGGCGTCGCGCCCGGGCCCGCACTCCTTCCCTCGTCACCACTATGTATGTATATATATATATATATATATACAATATCCCTCTCTTTCTCTTCTTATCTTTCTTCCTCGTCGATGCGTGTGACTACTCGTTACGGCCAAGGAAGATCGGCGTCGTTTCCCGAGTCATCCGCGCCACGAACGTCCCGCGCGAAGTTGTCCGCTTGACGAGGCAGCTACGACACGGTGACGGTGACGGCGACGAGGACGACGACGCGCGCGAACCGACCGTTTCCGTCGCTCTTCTCACTGTTCTCGGTCGCTCGAGCGACTGCTACGCGACTCGCTCGCGGGTATACGTGAGCGTACGTGTACCTTGGCGATGCTGTGCGTGCGTGCGCCAATCGGCGGCCATAGTAGCCGCCGCGGCCAATCAGAGCGTCCCATGCATCGGCCGCCGCGTCTCTCCCTCTTCGTCGCGCGCCGATCCGTTGTCCGCGTGCGCATCCACCTCCTTATTTACGACGGCGTGACCTCGGCGCTCGTCACCGCGATCTCATAACCTAACCTCTCCGCGTTGCCTCGCTTCGTGGACGACGATCCTGCTCGTCTCCCGTGGACGCGACTCCTGCCCCCCGAGACGAGCGACGCAAACTTCACGGCGTACAACTCCGCCCACTGTCACCAACTGTCTTCTCTCTCTTTCTTTCTCTCTCTCTCTCTCTCTCTCTCTCTCTCTCTCTGGCTCCTCTTTGTCGCGCGATTATTTCGAGTTCGATCTCGAGCGATATCTGAACGAGATGATATCGGAGGGAGCTTTCGCGGATCGCGATGACGCGCGTCGTGGATCGCGATAAACGCGATTCCTTCGGACGAGAGAAGTTCGCGCGTCTGTGTGCGAGTCGTAAATTACGGACCCGATTGTGCGCAGACTCGAGCGCAAGATGGCCGCCGCGCGACTGGCGGCCATATTGCCGCGAAGCGGGAAACGCACTAAATCAAACGCTCGGCGTGGTTCCACGGACTTTTACGTCTCGATTTTTCAACCCGCGGATGTACAATAGCCACGCGAATTATCTATCGAAATAACATGATGTATGAAAATTGAGTTGAATATAAAGATCAACGCACCTTATATTTTGATTTAATTAGACCTGATCATCGAGAAGCTTAATTGTTTATTAAATTGAATATTAATTAATCGGACGCCTTAAATTATCCGAGCTTGCGTGGATTATTATGTTTATAAATTAGTGATAAGTATACTCACAGTAATTGAACGCGCCTTAATATTTCCGCTCAACTTCATCTTCTGTCTTCAGATACAGCGATCTATCTATATTTATTCTAATTAAAACAGATTGATTAGTAAAAATCAAAATTTTTACATATTCTTATTAAAGCCATAGATTATGTAAAAGATAGAAGAACCACAAGTATACAATCACTCACATCGACCGATGCTTAGGGATTTTCACTATATCAGTCGCAGTTGATCAATCATATGTCAGAATTACAGTGATACGTGAATATCTAGATGCAACGCTACAAGATTTCGGCAGCGTCTCGTTTGACCACGTTGCGATTGACAGCCAATTATATCGACCTGTACCTAGGGTATTAGCAACGACTAAGGCCCGGTTCCACAACTCGAGCTAATCCGAGTTTAATACGTTAAACTGGGTCCTGATTGGTCCATTCACTACTTAAACTCGGATTAACTGGATTGTGGAACTGGGCCTAACCAATCAGAGAGTCCTATTTTAAATTGGCCAATTGGCGACGTGATCAATCGGATCCCACCCCAAGATATATGTAATCGTTTAATCAACCAATCAAAACGAAGGAACAAAAATTTCTTTGTTCCGATTGATCAAACGTTTTGAAATTTCGTGGCATCGAACATAGCATTTTCAGATATATGTTTGATCTTTTTGAGTATTCCTTTCTATACGAAAAAGTGAACATATTAATTTCCACATAGATAGTCGCGATGATTACGTGTGTTTGCGGTGCACACACTAGATTTATCTAACAAGATAAATAGTTTCTTGTTAGTAAGACAATCAATCAGAATAATAATCAATTATTTAGTAAACAGATTTCGCCACGTGCTTACGTTTAGGAAGATAGCACACTTTAGAAAAATTCATTATTCAACTGATGCCGACAAAGAATGTATCTGTACAAGTGATTTTGACAATATTAGGTGAGAAAAATTTGTTGTTATAAGATAAATAAAGATAATTTTATGTTATTATACTCTAAAAAGGGAAAAATATATTTTTATATTAATTTACTATACTCTAAAGGAAAGATATATTTTTATATTAATTTTTTGTGTGTTTAGGTAAAAGTATATGACTTCTGCAAACAAAGATCTAGCAGGAAGATCTGGAATTTAATTAAAATCTAACTTTATTATTGTGAGAACATCTTAATATCTTACTCTCTTATATCTTGACCTATTGTTAAATATAAGAATATAATACTCTTCAATATAATAAATTAAAAATAAGACAGAAGAAAAATATAACAGAAAAAGAACGACAATATGGATACTATAGATTATGACAAATATTACAAAAGAGATAATGATGGTTGCTATACTGTACATTTTGCAAATGCCAAGAAACTCAGTGTTGATGAAATAAAGGAAATATTTTCAGCTTATGGAAAAGTTATATCTGTAAATATTACTGACCAGGAGTATGGGTTTAGATTTGTAAAGTATAAAACATTAGAAGAAATAATATGCTGTTTAAAAGGTTTGAAGAACAGCGATATCATACAGTTGTTACCAGAAAAGATTAAAATGAATGATTCAAATCATAGATTGAATAAATATAATTCAACTCCACGGCAAAGATTGGAATATTCATTTCAGAAAACATTCGGTGACAAACAATTTAATTTGAATTCTGCTCATAATCGAAAATCCTCAGAAATTGAAAATTCAACTCGTAGTACAAGTACTTCTAATGGGAGTCAATTTGACAATGCCGACAACTTTTCAGATACTGCTTCAAGAAGTTCACATAATTCGAAATCTAATGTAAATGCAGTTAAGTATGATAAATCGGATTCATTGATATCCAATTCACTATTTTCAAGACAACAAAATTCCATGAGTAATTCTTCAGAAATAAATTATTATAAGTATTATAAAATAGGAAAAGATGGAACTTATATTGTACATTTTGCAAACAAAAAGGAACTCAGCATAAATGAAATAAGAAAATTATTTTCATCTTATGGAAATGTTGTATCTGTGTATTTTAATGAAGAAAGGATTAGTGGACTTGTATTTGTAAGATATAGATCATTAGAAGAAACAATAACATGTTTGAAAGAATTACAAAATAACGATATGATAAGCATATTACCACAAAAGGATAAAATTAATGGTACAGTGAAGAAAACAGATCAAGAAAATTCAAATCATGGGCAGTTGGCAGAAATGCAAGATTCATTTCAAAGAATTAACAGGCAATTTGATTCAAATTCCAATTATGATAAAAAATTCTCGAAAACTGAAGAAAAGTTGACTCATAATACAACTTCTGATCGAAACAGATTTCACAGTACTAATAACTTTTTAAATACTGATTTTGAAAGTTTAAACGATGACAATAAATCTGCAATTACATATACACATTCGGATTTTCTGATATCTGCAGATAAGCAAATTTCATCAAGCCAAAGAAGTTTCAATAACTATGAAGTAACTAATTACAATCAAGAACAGCAACACAAGAGTAAATTTCATTCTTTTACGAAACCTGATATCATCATTAATGTAAATAAGGATGTATCTGATGATAAAATACCAGCATTAATCTCTAATATGGAAATTAAGCAGAAGCAATTTGATGCAGTGTCTAAAAGCTCTTCACAATCCAGGATTAAGAATACATCATCTGAAGTCAGGATCACACCAATGCAAGAAATAATTGTTGCTGATATTCATGCAAATTATGATGTGCATTATATTTTACATTTGTTTAAAAAATATAACCCAATTTCAGCTACGGTTGTCGAGACTTTAGAAACTAATAAACGATATTGTCATGTTTATTTTAAAACAATACAAGACGCAGTAACTGTCGAAGAAGAATTTGATAATTTTGACTTGTCTGGCAAAAATCTTATTGTTCTTCGAATGTCACGATTGATAGAGGAAGTTGCATGTAAATAGTACTCTTCTTTTTGTATTTATATTAATCACATTTAAATTATCATGTTACGTAAATTTTGATAAGGATTTTTCTTGAATTCCAATTATTGAAGAATGTCAGTAATATTTTTGTATACACCTGTATTTGTCTTTTAGTTTATAGACAGAATTTTTATAGTTACGATTTAATATGGAAAAAGCATGAGGAAAACAAACTAATAAATTGTATTCAGGAAACAAACATTTATGAAAAGAATAAAATTTTTTTCTGCTTATACATATAGAGTGTTTTAATACGAAGATAAAAAATACCTTAATACAATTTTTTAGTGTATCTTTTACAAAAGTGTTTTTACGTTAATATATTATTTTTCTAGACAACAAAAGTAATCATTTTGATATAATTATTTTTTTCTTAATTTGGCATTATAAACCTGCGAAAAAAAATGTAGACATATTTTTTGAAAAAAAATATATGCATATATTTGAATCAAATTTGAAATTTTATATTATATTATGCGCTTACGTGTGTATATGTACGTATTTGTATGTATGGTATTATTCCTAACCTAAATCTTTTCACAATATGCACGTGTGTTGTAGAGGTTGTAGATGTAATCAAGTTGCTAGAAGATGCAATTAAAAATGTCGAAGAAATTTAATAAAAAAGAAGTGCATCAAATGCTTGTAACAGAAGATAAATTTATTTCGAATATATTCTCTGTAATGCCTATGTCAACGTGCGAATTAGGTAAAAACATTTTTAAAGTAGTATCTAAAATTCTCTAGAGGTTATATTTCATGTCGTGTAATAAAGTCAATATTTTATATTTTAATATAGCAAAGCAGAATCAACTAATAGATGGAAAGGAAACGAGGGAAAAAGGTTGTTATATTTTTTTTAACATTTATTTAAAACAAATTAATTTTATAAAATTCAAAATTGCCCTTTACCAATTGCCATGAAATTTTATCTATATTTATATATTTTAATGAATAAAATATATAATTAATAAGTAAGATATTTTTTGAGCAATTAATAATTAATACTTTTATCTAAATTGACAAAAGAATTTGTATAATTTGCTTGTTTATCAAAAAAAAATTTTTTTCTGTATGATCTATATTACTAATCAGATGTTTTCTATTGCAGTCAAGTCTTTTGCTTCACCAGGCAAGAAAACGGGAAGAGTAAACTCTTTCGAGTTACATGAAAAATTAGAGAAATTAAAAGGTGTAAAAAAATTAGATTATAAACAGAAACTTCTTAAAAAAACATTGAAAAACAGAATCAAAAAGAGTTCAAAAAAGGAACAACGTTTGCTACAGAAAAAACTTGTTAAAGCAGAACAAAATGCAACTGGAGACAATAAAATAAAGATTAATAATGAGGAGGTGCCAAAAATTCCAAAACCAAAACCAGTATTTAATTCGGAGGGTAAAATGGTGTTTAGTAAGTTTGATTTCTCTGAAATTGGAGTAAAGAAAAAACTACCTAAAAATCAGAATGATCCTAAAAAGATTTTACAACAATTACAACAAAAGAAAGAAAAATTGAAGCAATTAGAAAATTCAGGCGATAAAGAAAAAGCTGAGGATATTAAAGAAAAAGATGCATGGAAATCTGCATTGGCAAAAGCGAATGGTGATAAAGTATGTATTTATTTTGACTTTATTTTGTGAAAAATTATTTTAATATGAAAAATTAATTTCTTCTTTCATATATTAATTAATTTCTCATAAATTAATTAATAGAATTGATTTCATATTTCTACATATTTATTATTATCAATTTATTATACTCTTATATTTTGCATCAGCTGATTTATTTAAATAAATTAATACATTAATTAATTAGCATATAAAATTCTTTTACACATGAAGCCTTTGTTCTAGATTTTTAATGCAATTATGTTTAATAGATTAAAGATAATCCAGAGTTGCTCAAACGTACTTTAAAGAGAAAGGAACAGAAAAAGAAACACAGTGCAAATAAATGGAATTCTAGAATAGAGAATGTACAAAAATCTAAACAAGAAAGGCAAGAAAAACGACAAGGAAATATTATGAAGAGGAAGAAAGAGAAAAAATTAAACAAATTGAAAAAAGCAGCGAAGAAAGGACGTGTTATACCTGGATTTTAATCAATTAAACTAGTTAGCTGTACTTTCATGATGCGAATTTACATAAAAAAATAAAGTGTATGTTTATTTAAGTTATATTTTGCTCTTAAATTTTTTTTATGTGCAAAAGTATATTAAAGTACACATGCACATTGAGATTATATAATGTGGAAACATAAAACTCTACTTTTTAATTTAAATTTATACAGAAAATAGAATCTAAATGAATTTGATACGTTTGTTACTGTTTGTTGATATATTTACTGTCGAAAATCATACAACAGATTTAATGCAGGAAGAGAGAATTAAAAGATTAAATAATATAATCCATATTATTGCGATATTTGTTAGTGAGGAAACTGGATCTTTTAAAAGTTGTGAACACATGTATGCAATATCAATCTGTATACAATTACGAATAATATTTTATTAATATAATTCTCCTTTTATTTGTACATTAACAAATCTGTATTTACATTAACATATTTGTATTGTAGACCAGCTACTTTCTACAACTATCGCATACATTCTGGATTGTAATTATCATGTAAAAAGCTCTACTCACAAATGTCGCGAGCAAATAGTAGTATAAAATTTCATGTCGGGATGTCTCATTACATAATACAAAGATCATATGATACTCTTGAAGAAGTTTTTCATAAGGTTTATTTTATTTACTTCTCTTTACTTGAAAGAGTATGTTTCCTGATATTTCACGTAATTGATGCCACTGTATGATAGTTTTGAATAAATTGGCCAGTGTCATTCCTGGATACTTTAATAAGATATTCCTTCATTTGAAGAGACTGGCTAGTTAGTAAATGATTGGCAGATCTAGGACGAGAGCTTCAATATAGCTGCCATCTTCCACCTCCTGCTAGGTATCTCCCAAGGCTGCAGAGACCGCATTAGCGTGCGTCAAAGCTGTCCATAATGGACTGTGATCCACAGGCAATGGCACCGCCAAGGATTTCGATGGTCGTGGGGACCTAGAAGTAAAGAATAATATACAATCTGATAATACATAAAACTGTATTAACTTTATAGAGCTATAATATTTTAAAGAAATATTAGAGACTATAAAAACTTCATGTTTTGATATATCAATAAAAATCTTTAATTTTAAATAAAAATTTATTTTTTTTTATATCATTTATTTCATTTTTATTATTTTTTATATTATTTCTTTGTTTTTGTTTCTTTTATTTTATGTTACATTTTATTTTATTTATTTTATATATTTACGGATAAAATTTATATTTTACGGATAAAAAATGTTTAATATTTATCGAAGTAAAATTAGAAATAAACATGCATCATATTTTTGATCAACGAATAATGAAAATCTGTACTGAAATTTTGCTTTGTCATAATTCAAATTGAAAATCGCGCCATTTCGGAATTACAGATTTGATAATAATACTCGTCGACCAATCATCTATCTCGCGTGCCTATTCGGATAACTTCAATCCGGATAACTACAATCTTGTGCAGGACGGCGAGCAGTGGCAAGGAAAAAGATACTTTTGCATGATAATTCCGCTTTTTCGAATTATTTTATAATTTATAGTGCGTGTTTTTTCTAGAGTTCAATCGCGTATCGTCGTAGTATTATCGATAATTAGCGAGTAATCCGATTTTCGTCGGTATAAAGAATCGTTCCGCGAATTCAAAAAAGCTTGTGAACCAGTATGAGATATCTTTCGAGATCATTGCTTCAATACGTAGATATTACAGGTGAGTCTATTTTATTGAGTTGTCTATTTTATTAATTCGTAAATTCGTATATTCTTATAATTCAGAATAGAACAAAGATTTTCATTGAGGAATGGATGGAAATGAGTGAGGAATCACTCCGAACATTTTCGCGACAATTCATGATGTCGGATGGAGCAGGAGAAGCGAGGGGGAAAACTTATATAATTTGATGCAATTCGATAATATTTTATATAATAAATCTAATTCCTCTTACTTATATTTATTAAAACGTTTACTAACACTGCGAAATAACAGTGTATGTTAAGTGTTGGAAAGAATACGAGAGAGAGGGGGGGGAGGCGGGGAGAAAGAGAGAGAAACATGATCTTTGCTGATATTGCAGCCAATCGGCGCGCTTTCGCACGCGATGTATGTATTATTTGAATTATTTGAATAAGTTTGAAGACGGGAAGAAGAAAAAATGTGCACTTTCATGTAACTCGTAATTTGTTCTTGTAATTCCCGATTTGTACGTAATTCTAAAGCGTATTTTATCATTATTACCTTGACGGTACCAAAGCCGGATGCTAATCTGGACTACTCAATTCTAGGGCGGTGCTCTGTTCGGGATCCGAACGTTCCTCGACAACGGTATCCAACTCTAAGGATGGAAAGCTTCGGGAGCCTCGATCGCTTTTCAAGGATACAGTGCGTGCTGGACGATCTATCCCAGCTGTAGGACATGCCAATAAATACGTGAGTTGTATTAAAAATTAAATTGCATTAAAAGTATCAAGACATAGTCTTGTTGTCTAACTGCAAATATTAACGTAAGGACACGCTTTTGCGCTTAAAATTGTTTCATCAAAGTACTTCTTTGAGAGATCCATAAAAGTCTTCAGCTTAGAATCAATTTTTTCTTCAATAAAAAAATTTACAAAGGAAAGTAAAATAATTGTGCATTTTAAAAGATACAAGAGTATTTTAAGCAAAATTGATTTTAAGGGCATGTTGATAATCTGGATTTATTTATTATTATAATTCTCTCACAAATCTTAACGTAGTAATTTGCCTCTATTTATTCATATCCAATGTTGTTTTCTTTCAGTTATTGAAATCTGAGTTTTTATAAGTTGAACTATATTTTACAGAGAATGTGTTAGAAGAAAAAATATAGTTCGGTTTATAAGAACTCAGATTTCAATAACTAGAGATTCTCTATTTTATAGTTAAAACGTATTCTATATGTATTCAGATCTTCTTCAAGATTTTCCTTTCAAATTTTATAGTTTATCATTAGTCTGCTGCATTCAGTCACATTATTACTCGAATTAGAGTTTTATATAGTTTCTTATATAGTATATAGTAATCTCTTCTTTTTCCTAGTAATTTCGATATAAAAAATATCTTATAGTTATATAATGGTTAATTTACATTTTATTTAATTTAATTGATCAGCAACACTTACTTAGTTTTACGAGTTATTTGTTTTCGATTGATATAGGAATATTTGTTCTACATGCGTTCTAGTTTCACTTTTTAAACTTGGTTGAATACTCACCCAGACGATGAACCGGGCTAAAACGAACGAGACTCAATGCACCGTGATCCAAATCACAGTTTCTTCGCCGAGCTCGTTCCCTGGCGAGTTTCGCTCTTCTTCGTAGACAGCAAATTACCATTAATGCCAGCAATGGAAACCCCAAAATGCAGGAAACGATGGGAATTATTATACTTTCCGGCGTCACTGAAAGATGCAAACAATTTAATCATGCGGCAATTTTCTGAACTAGAATACATAATTCTTTAATTCATAAAGTGTTTCTTTTTTCAAGTGAGAGATATATATATATATATATATATATATATATATATATATAAATAACTATATCCCAATATTTAAAAAAAGGAGTAAGAGAAATTTCAAAATCTCAAAAAAATGTATAAATTATTTTTTATAAATAAATATGTATATACATATATATGTATATATTTGTTTATAAAAAATAATTTATAATTTTTTTTGATATTGTGAAATTTTTCTCCTTTTTTAAACATTGAGATAGTTGTATTTATTTCCTATTCGTTAGGCATTTTGCGATTTGATCTTTATCTCCTTTCTCGTATAATTTCTCGTATAACTTTTAAAATTATTTAGTCTGTTTCTTGAGATCGGTCTTACTTGAATTAGCTCTTTAATAAATTTTTCTTTACTTTCAATGAGTTTCATTTCTTCTGGTCATCGTATAAATTATGCGGAAAATTTTTTCCACGTCTTTTTATTCAATGTTCTTATTATGTTATTTATTTTATATATTTCTACCTGTTTATATTTTTTATATTCTTCTAGTAATTTATTCCTATATTCTATATAGGTATTTCTCTTCGTTACTGTTTTATTTCTTGAGTAAACCAGTTGAGATCTAGTTTTTCATTTCTCATTTAAGATAAATTTTTGTTTGTTATGTGCTTAATTTACGTGTTTAATTTTAAAATTAAATTTTTAAATTAAGAGATATATTATTATATTATTATATACTGTTATTATACAATATATCTTTATAAAAAGTTATAAATACTAATAACTATATATATAGAATAATAATATTCTGTCAGAAAATTTAAATGTTTTTATGTTATAATTTGTCGCGCGTCACTGAAAATTGAGGATTTGTTTTTAGCGTGTACGCACAATATTCCGTAGTTCAGTTGCCATGTAACTGCAAATTAGAAGTATTGTGGGGATTTGAATGATGCACCGATTGCGCGAAATCTAGAGTTTCTAAAGTTTTAACGTCAACTAATTAATCCAATGGAAAGCTGCGAACGTATTTTGCTTCGTCGAAATACTTTACTCTTTAAACAGGTGCTTCCTAGGTCAATTAAGTGTTAATTAAGAATCTCTTCAATCGCAGTTACGAAAAAGTCGATATTCCAGATTACTTAAAGGAAATAGAATTCTATTATTTCAGATATTCGTACATACATTGGTATTCCTCATCGTCAGTAGCAATCAGACAGTCTTTAAGTCAACGAATAAACCAATGATATTGTACTGCAGACTTTGTTATCTTGTTAGCGTATTCATATTTTCTCGTAATTCACGCTATATAACAGGCAACTACCTGACACTAATTAAATTATCAATCCGTTGTCTCTCTCTCTCTCTCTCTTTGCCTCTTCAAACTTGGTTCTTCTAGCTACTCGTTTATAATTCCCCACCGCCACAGGCACGATCTAATACTTCATACAAGCCTCTAATTAAATATCATCTTGTGCAGTTAATATATGGCGTCTTCGAAATAAGACGCAATTCATGATAATAATGCCAGCATCATATAAATGGCTATATATATTTTTTACAGTGAAGTGAAGCTTAGTTTCAGCTGAATTAGAAATGCGACATTTCCTTTTTAGTCGTTATTGTTTTCTTACCCGTTGGATATACCAAAATTGTAGGCCTTTTAGAGTGCGGAATCGTTGGCATGGTGGGTCGACCAGCTCTCACCTCCGCTGACATTTTCCTTTGTTCTGAAAATGAAAATGAAATACCTTTTTGAGTTGACTTTTCCAATTTCGATATATATTTTCGTTTCTACCTAGCATGTATCTCTTTAAATACTGTCATACAAAATGAAAAATAAATAAAATAAAATACAAAATAAAATACAAAATTAATTGAAAATTTATATATAGAGAATATAATTATTTTTATTCATATTCGAAAGTTTATTGTTAACAGAATTATAGTGGAATACAGTTCAGAAAATCTTGTTGCGCAACAATTCATCAAAATGTGTTATTTTCATCGTTGACAAATGGCTGAAACTACGATTCGTTATATCATGAAGAGATCAAATAACGAATTTTTACATTTCTTACTATTAATGTTGAAAAAGTACTATTTGTCGAAAAGTAAAAATTTGTCGAAAAAGTAAAAGTGTAATGTTAAAGTCAGCATCATATACATTTTTAATATCAATTTTTTCTTAATTGGTAAAACTAACAAATTCGGAATTAAAACAATAAATTAATTAAAAAATTATAAGTTAATTGTATTATGCATCGGAATTTGATTTCTTATTGTTAGAATAGGGATGCCAGGGTCAATTGAGGTCAACCGGGCAACCCTTTACACGCGCGCACATTATTCTGCATTATCTGCTTCTGACATCCGGCAATATCGCAAATTCTCGATCATTTACCGTTCGCTATTATTACACCTGGATTTCGGCCAGTGTCCCTGTAACGTTGAGGTTTTCCTATTAAATTATAATGAGCGTGCGTGCGCGATATTGCGCGTCAAGCTAAAAAGCTGCAGTTAAAATAAAAAATTCAAAGTAAGTTCTACAAAAAATTTCAGAATATTTAATAATTTTTACGTAAATGAAATATTTTAAAAACTATCGTCGAATACGCGGCAATATTTTTTGGAGAAAAAGTTTGTAATTTTACATGGAGTTTATGCAATTCAACATTTGATAAAATCAACATGTGATAGAGATTTGAAAGTGAAAAAATGGAAGTTTCCCCACGTGTATTTTAAAATGCTCAGTTACACAATTTCATTACAGTATGTTTAGTATCACTGGGGAAAAGATACAGAGATAACCCAGGCGACATAACATGAATTATACACCGCATGTGGGAAAACGTTTCTCACATTTTCTTCGTTTCTCAGGTCGGACACATTAAATATTAATGAGGAAAGTGATAACAAAGCTAATAGCAATTGGGGTCGGATGAGTAAGACACGTGCTCTTCATTTTTCTTTTCTTTGTATAATATCTTCATATAATATGCATCTCCATAGAATATTAATTTTTATTAAATGAAATAATTTTAATAAAATATTTTTAGAAAGTATTTAATATTGAATTGTTATCGAATTATGTTTCGGACGGACAATTTCGAGTAAAACGCACAAAAATATCCGATTCGTCACGTCGTATCTCCGTCGTCTCGTCGAATAATTTGAATCCCAAGAGTAACCGAGTAAATCCAGCAATCTCGAAAGCGAAGAAATTCGATTCTCGTGGAGATTCTCTGTGTGTGCCGCGGGTAACGGCAGCAATTCCATGTCTCTGACGGGGCGCGAATATTGTCAACTGATTCCCGGCTTGTGCAAATCGCACGTCGAAATCGGAGCTACATGTAGCGGCTATCGATTTCACTTTCTGTGCGACGAAGTAAACCACGCATTTCAATGCAAAAAATGTAAAAATTCATTAATCGGTCTCTCCACGATATAACGAGTCGCTATAATACTTGTCAGTGATAAAAATAACATATTTTGATGAATTATTGCGCGACAAGATTCTTCAAGATTCTACCGTAATTCTGTTAACAATAAACTTTCGAATATGAAGATAAAAAAATTACGCTCTGTCGTTATATCAAATTTTTAATCATAATAATTTTGTCTTTTTTATAATAATTTTATATTTTATTTTGTATTTTATTTTATTAATGTGAATCACAATCGCAACAAACAAATATATTATAATTTGATAACTCATTGCTCAGATATACGCAGATGTGGAAATAGATTTCAGAAATATTAAATTTTTATATATAGATGCATCAATACAAATGTTATAACTATATAACATATAATAAATCATCAAAAAATTAACAATATCAGCTTTCTGATATTATTACTTAATTGCTCTCGAGATAATTTAATTTCGAACATTTATTCGTGAAAAAGAGGTTTAGAAAATAATTAATAATGCTTCAATGTTTTTATTGCTAGAATATAAATTATGAAATTAATAATAATAATAATAAATTATGTTAATAATTAAATTAATTGCTTTCTTCTTCGATTTCGATTTTAATAATTGAAAATTCTATAAATAAAAAAATATATTAGCATAATGTTAAGTCTTATTCTTAATATATCATTCTTAATTTCTTATTAATTATTACTAGTATTATTACTAATAAAAGGAATTGTTATTAACAAGAATATTAAATTACTAATCAGAGCCATAAATTAGTAATAAATAAATATTTAATTATTACGTATTCAAATGTATTTTTTCATGATAAAAATACTAGATTAACAGAGGTACACAATTGATGTAGTTGGGGCATAATACAAATTACGAAACATATATACAATTACAAATACAATTACAGATACAAATTGTCTCTTGTGACAGAAGAATTTTAAACAGTTTTACAAGTTATCGCAATGGTTTTAAATTTTATAAATTTGTTTGCTAAAAATTGTTATAGATAAAATTAAAATATATACAGAAAAATATTTATATTACAGAAAAATATTTATATTTATATTTTTCTGTAATATAAATATTTATATTTTTCTGTAATATTTCTGTTCAAAAATATTTATATTTTACTATACGTGAAGAAATTGTCTTTGCTTACATAATTAATTTGCGATTGATTTTAATATTTTTTAATTATTTTTAAGTCTTAATTTGTGACAGTTAAAATTCCTATTAATCCCCCGATATTCAGCCACAGTCTGCAAGATTCAGCGTGCATCTTTTTAGTCACTTATATCTGGTTTTTAGAATTTAGGTCATCCTTAATTTTGTCGCGACGGCTTGTCGAATATTGCTACTATAAATCGTTCGAGGGGTTCTCTCTGCGCGCTTATGTTAAAGCATGGAGGAGTCTTAGCTGAAAATGATACTCGCGCAGGGGAAGGAATAAAGAAAGACATCGTTACCGTATCTAAAAAAACGGCCTTTAAGCCGTCTGAGGCCTTTTTGCTGTTTAGGGGAGCACCTGCCGACAGTTTGCTTATTTTACGTGTATTGCAAGATAGACTGAATTTAAGTGGACAAAAAATAATTGCTGTTTTAGCGAGCGAGAAATTGAGATTAACGAATTTCTCGATTATTGGAAGGAATAAATTTGTCATCATAATTTATTCGAAAAATTTATAAGACAATGTGACGAGAAACATCGTAAATATACGTGTCGTTTCTACATCTAACAAGAAGGAATACTTACTCATAAAGTTTTGTATGTTTATCTTGTACGATGAACTATATATATCAGAATATAATGTTTTAACATTTTCTAAAGAAAAATAAAACTGATATATATTTACTTAATATTATACGAAAATTCCTTGAGATATTAAAACAATGAATCTTAAGATATTGACACTATTTCAGATGTGTTGATCTAATACTTTTTATCTTTGTTGGTCCAGCACTTTTTCGCATCAAAGTAGATTATTTTATCGGCTGCTAACCTTTTGGCAAAGAAAAATCTTCTCCTCTCCCAAAGGCATGTTCGTGAAAGCCTATGAGATTTTCTGGTCGCCAAAAAAATGATAGTTACGACGTGCTTGTTATCTAAATAGGTCGGCCACGCCTATATAAAAAAATCTCATTTCATGAAGCTCGCAAATGAAAGAAAAAAAATCAATTCTCTTCTTCAAAGCAACACGATTGATCAGAAAAAAAATGTAATTTTGCGATAGATTATTTCGAACGCTGAAATATATAGCTATGCATATATAAGGGCTCTTCTAGAATTATTATAAAATTTGAGAGGTAAATATTTTTCGAAAAACTGTTCGCGCGAAATACCGTTATAATGGAAATTTTATATGAATATCTCTCTCTAATATTTGTTTATATTTTTATAAAAAATTAACAAGTTCTCTATTTTATTTTTTTATGATCGTAATTAGTAATATAACTCGTGTAAACTAATTTCATACATCTTGACTGATATGAAAATAATTTTAATTTAAATTAATATTTTAAAATATTTGACAAATTAAAGTTAATATTTTAATTTTAATTTTAATTTTTTATATATGCAAAAAAGTAAAAATTATAAAACATAAATGAAAAGTAAATATTTGATACTTGTGAAAATAAATTGCTTCTCTTTTCATTAGTGAAAAATCAAATCTATTGTATAAAATGTTCTAAAGTAGTATAGAATATATTTTTTTTAAGTATAGAATTCTGTTAAAATGAGAGAGAAATAACATACATATAAATAAATAAAGTTGTCTAATATCATTTTATAAATTGTATGACAATTTTCGTAAAATCAATTTTGATATTCGCAAACACACTACATTCAGTTCTGTTTATTTATATCATTAACATAATAAAAACTCTCCATAACGTATTATATATATTGAATATTTTTGAGATTCCATTTTTTACGATATTATGAACTATGAAAAGAGCTCTCTCCTGAGTCATGTCGAAATATCCTTAAATCAAATATCCTTATTTTATTTCGTGACGTCTGTCTGCCGTTTAAAGGCAAGTTAACGGCTCCATCTGGATTTCTCACATTTTGGAATGCTATCGAAATACGAACGGTATGTATGGCCGCAGGAAGTTGTTCTCCATACTGTCTCAACATCGCGGAATGTCAAGGTATTTACATCGCTTGTATATACGGGTTCGTATACCGGTTGTGCTCGAAACAGGAGAGATGTTCGGTTCCGGATTTGTATATCGTGCGGTGCCGCGCTGACAGATCCTTAGTAAGTGACGTAGATAGGTATGTGTACTCAC